CGGCAGGTCTGGGCCCTGCCCGGGACGTCCCGGTCCGCCGTTAGTTCATCGGCGTGGGTCATCGTTCGGTGTCAGTCGGTGGCTGTCTGCCTGGAACACGAACACCTGCTTTTCTTGGGCTTCAGGTCTGCCTTCAGTTAGATGCTTGTGTTGTGCGATCTCTCATCATACAAGTGTGATTCATCACAAACCCCTTCCTAAAAATCTTGATGTTCACAGGTTTATCTCACCTCCTTTTGTTGTTTGTGTTCCAAGGTAAAATACGTTGATGTTTCTGTTTTCACAGCGTGCCTCTTGTCATCCTTCTTCCTCGTTTCTCCAGGCCTTTTTCTGAGGACACGTCTGTATGCAGGATGCAGGCGTGCAGGTTTATGGTGCTTTGTAATTTTTCCGAGCTTGTCCTGCATATTTTTCCTCATAATTCCTGTTTGCTTTTCTAATCATCATAGCACACACAGAGTTGAGGTACAGAGAACTAGGAGTGAACTGGTCTCAGGCAGGGACTGGCCTTTCCACTCTCCCGTGCATTCCACCCCTCACACAGACGTTTGGAGCAAGGCCTTCCAGGTTCTAGCCCCCGGGGGCTGAAGAGGGGAGGAGGAAGAGCCGCCCACCAAACCTGCACGGCCTGGTTGTGGAGGGGAGAGGGCAACAGCTGGGAGCACAGCATGCTGGAAATGGACTTCAGCTGAAGGCTTGAAGCCTGTTGTTTTGCTTTAAGACCAAACTGACAGTGCAGAGGCTAAATTAACTCAATGACCAAAATACTTTATAGACAGATATCTGTGGGTTTTGTGAATTAGTGACTTCCCCGTTTGGTGGGAGAGAGGGGTCTGTGGTTCAGGAGGAAAGCCAGGCTGGGCAGTGTGGGTGTTCCTTACGCTACCTCCCTGTTCTCCAAGAGAGGGAACTTGATCTAGGGTAAAAACTGCATGGATTACTGTAGTGGTTCTTGCTGTGCTTTGTGGCATCCTGGTGCAGGACTGGGGGGTTCCCTGCGGTCTCTTGTGTACCCCTGAAGTCTTTCCTTGCGCCAGGGCAGTTACAGAGCTGGGTCGAGAGACCCGTTTCCCCTGGCTGCTCGGTGCCACTCAGGCCCCTGACAGCTTTTTCCCAGTCTCTGGCATTCACGAGCTGGAAGGTTCTCTGCAGTTGACAGTTTTCACAGTGAGAAGTAGGCAGTTTATGCTCCTAGTGCTCCTCTGTTCTTATAACTAAGGTTTTCCTGTACATGGCAGAGCTAAGTAGAGCTCACGTGCTTACACTGTTGCCAGCCAGGCCCAGCCCCTGCTAGCTGCCACCACTGGGGTGACCAGTCCCACCTGCCTTCAGCAGAGCCCTGAGCTTGTGTTTCCAGTGATCTACCCTGATGCCAAAATTTCTTTCCAACTGACAGTGGTCAATTTTAAAGTTTGCTTTTGTTTATGGGTATTTATTTTTTCCCTCCTTTGTATTTCTTGATATTGAATTCCTGTATCAGGGGAGCTTGAATAATTCTGTGTTGTATGTTTTTTCATCTCACTCTGTACCCCATTTGTTATGGGTGTTTTGAGCCCGGTACAGAACCCTGGTTTATTCCCCCTCTTTTGGTTCCTGGAACTACTCTGTTTTGCCTGATGTTTTGCTGAGGCTGAATGGGTGGGGAAGAGCAGTGAGAGGAAGCAGGGCCAGATAATACAGCCCTTGCCTGAGCACTGACCAGTTCAGTCCTGGTCTCTGACAGCTGGGGTATTCCAGCCAACTGCAGCTTTGTTTTCTTACATGCTAACTTTTTACCTAATTGCCTTTTAGGATGGGGGAAGGGTGAGTTTTACAGTGCTTCCTTCCTGTACCCTTCTTCATGCTTGTCACTTCTGTCCTCTGTAGAGCCGTAGGGAAGACCTGCTTGCTGATCAGTTACACCACAAACGCCTTTCCTGGAGAATACATCCCTACTGTGTGAGTAGCGGCCTCCGCTTCAGTTGTTCTTCTGCACGCATGTGCCTGTAGAAGGTGGTTTCTAGGTGAGGAGGAGGCTGTCCCGAGTCAGACCAGGAGCGTGGCAGGCGAGGGGAGCGCTGGCGGTGCCGCCCTGGGCGTGAGGAGGGCAGGCTGTGCCCGCTGGGGCTGCACTGCAGCAGCCTCCTGACTCCCTGCGCCCTCGGCCGTCACACGGAGATCTGTGGGTCACGACACGACGGTCACTGATGGGGACTCTTCCTTGGCAGGTTTGATAACTATTCTGCCAATGTCATGGTGGATGGGAAGCCGGTGAACCTGGGCCTCTGGGATACAGCAGGGCAAGAGGATTACGACCGGCTGCGGCCTCTTTCCTATCCACAGACGGTGAGTACTGGGCTTGGACTGGCTTGCAGCTGCTCCCTCGTGGGGACGGGGAAACTCCCAAGGACAACCAGGCTTCTTTCTTGTGAGAAATGCCTATGTTCCTGCAGCTGTAACCATGATCCTCATTTTGAAGAATTATCACAGCTGAGTTTTCCCCAAGAGGTTGTCCTGTTCTAGTCCCTGCTTGGAGTGATGTTTGAAGCGTTACGGTACCGCAGGGGGGCCCCGGTGGCAGGAAGGGTGTGGGGCTGCTGTGAAGCCAAGCCAGTTCTGTATCCCCATCCCCTCTTGGCAGCAGGGCTCACTGCTGGGCTCCACTGGTCGTGTTTCTCTGGCTGTTGCAGTTCCTACATGCCCTTCCTGCCAGGGGTGAAGCCCATAGCACTGCCAAGGTATTTGTAACTGCAGGCTCTTAACATGGAGAGCCCAGGATTGTAAAAGAAGATGAATTCATATGCTTAAAAGTTCAGTCTTTCCCTCTCTGAGTTAGTCTAGCACTCTCAGTGGGGAAGAATTTCTTATAGCCACGGTCCTTGCTTGTGGGAGGAGGTTCTCCTCTGAGAGGCTCTCCACCCTCCCTCTCTTACATCTGGCTATTTTTCTACACAGCTGATGCTCTTGTTTCCACACAGGACGTTTTCTTGATCTGCTTCTCCCTTGTGAGTCCAGCCTCCTTTGAGAATGTCAGAGCCAAGGTAAAGCATGCTTCTTCTGGTTGAAAAAGTGGGGGGGAGGAAGCAGTGAAGTCCTCTGCCCCTGCCAGGACTACACCTATAAGCCTTAAATTTCTAGCAGTCATGTTTTGATAAGGGAAGGTCAGAGTCTGCAGGTTTTAAGAGGGACCTACTTTTTATTCATTACTTCACTGGGTAAGTTTTTGCTTTTTTGAATCTGCACCTTAAATAAGATAAGGGATGTCTTAGAAGCCAAAGCACAGTTAAGGGGAAGGAAGCACTGTGTGCAGACTTGGCTGCCACAGTCTGTCATGATCCCATGTCTCTGTGCCTTCATTATTGCATCTACATGAGTCTCCTTCTGCAGAGCACATTCAGAACTGTAGGCACAAGTGTCCTGTTCAGGTGGTGTCATCATGTCAGGCAGTAGTGAAAACCTCACTCTGAACAGTAAATACCTCCGTGTGGTTGCATCTGCTGCTATAGCTGCCTTCCTTACCATGCCTCTCTGTTCCAGTGGTACCCTGAGGTCCGACACCATTGCCCAAATACACCTATCATCCTGGTGGGCACCAAGCTGGACTTGAGGGATGATAAGGACACCATTGAAAGGTTACGTGACAAGAAATTGGCCCCCATCACCTACCCCCAAGGTTTGGCCATGGCTCGGGAGATTGGTGAGTCTCATGTGCTTGCAGATCTCCGTGGCACTGAGCTTTTTATTGTGGAGTGGGTGACAGGCAGCACGTCCTGGTGGGACTGGAGGGGCTGAGCTGGAGCTCTCTTTCCCCTAGGGTCGGTGAAGTACCTGGAGTGCTCTGCCCTGACGCAGCGGGGCCTGAAGACGGTGTTTGATGAAGCCATCCGGGCTGTGCTCTGCCCCCCGCCCGTGAAGAAGCCTGGCAAAAAGTGCACTGTGTTCTGAGGGCCTGGCCCAGGCTCAGCACGTTGTCATCCTCTGACAGACTGCATATTAGCTGGGTGTTTCTGAAGGGGGCTGGGATGTGTAGGGCCCTTCATCATGTATGAAGTCAGTGTTTTTTAAATGTCTCTTTGATTTAACGTCAGTGTTGATGTGAAGGGGCAGTGGGGGCAGGAGAGCAGCTGGGGGCTGTACAGGCCCCAGGGGAGGTACAGTGGGGAAGGCGTGGTAGCTCCTTGTGGCAGCAAGCTGTTTTGGCTCTCCTGAACACCGTGCTGAAAGGGCTGAGACATCCACTCTGTCCTGGAAACGCCTGGTTCCACCTGCAGGTGGGCAGGTGGTGAAGATCCTCTGGGAGCGGGGCGGAGCCCATGGGAATGGTGCTAAGTGACAGGAGCAGCTGGGAGAGGTGCTGGGGTCTCCTTGCTCAGCCCTGCTGTGGCTAAGTTAATCTATTGGTGCTCTAGCAGATATGTGCCTGAGACTGTTAAGGAAATCATAACCAGTCCTGGAAGGAGTCCAAGTAAATGAGGTACGAAGCTGAAGAACTAATCATCAGGTGCTTTACTGGGGACTAGCCAAGCTCACTGAGTGAGGCAGCTCTGTGCTATCAATGTATTTGCCTTTTGGTGCATGCACACCCCAGGACAGTGTGGTGCTGCTCCCCTCTGGCCCCATCAGTCTTTAGCAGGGCCTTCCCCCCCAAATCCAGTCTCTGCAGAGCAGGACTGTGGTTGTTGCCTCTGGGGTTTGTTGGGTTTTTTGTTTGTTTGTTTGTTTATTTTTTCCCCTCTACTAAAGACAGTAAAGGAAGCAATGAGGAGTCTGCTAACTTCTTCTTTCCCTTCCCACTCAAAGTGCAGGATGGCTGTACAGATTTGGATGGAGCAGGGAGAGCTTCTGAAGGGTTGTGGGGTTGGGGATAGGGTTGGAAGAAAGACAGGTCCAATTTCCAGTCATCATGTAGAGTGACAAGATGAAACTTTATTTGGTGCAATAAACATTCTCCATGACAGTGTATTTGAGCTTTATTATATAGCAGTCCTCTAAAGGCAGTTTTCTGCCTCACTTCTCACACAGATTCCAGCTCTGCTGCCCTTCTTCTCCAGCAAGACTTAAGTCTGTGTCATTGTTTTCTATCCAGTGTACATCTGTGCAGTACTAGTGTGAAAGTTGAGGCCAGGTGTGAAATGCAGGCATCACCTTCAGGCATCACCTCAGGAGACGAGAAATCCCCCATCAACCATCAGCGAGCTGCCAGTGGTCATTGCACTCTGATCACTCAGCAGG